CCTGCCGGCCTACTCGGTCAGGAGGAGGCCACAAAGCATCATCCTCTTTGGTGATTTCACTGTCATCAATTATTCTCTTCAGTTCCTCCATCACACTTTTATGTACATAGGCCTCTTTTCTGATCATAACATCATTTTTGTAATTGCTGATGTTGGCATATCTCAATTTCCCATCGGGTCAGAACTCGAACTCCAGGAACTCGTGACCGAACTTGCCTTTGTGGCCCATGTAGTAACGCAAATAAAAGTCATTCTCCATAGCTCGCATGGCACAGCCGAGACCGAGTTTTTCAGGACCAAACAGCACCACCCAGACCCGCGCCAAACACTGACGTTTAAAATTTTCTTTTTCCTTGACCAATTTTGCATGCTTGAATTTGGTAATCATGGTGACTGATCTGAAAACAATATGCAGTATAAGAACCATTGTCGAATCCCTACCATCTTGTATGGTGAAGCTCTGCATCATTTCCAATATTTTTTTTTTTTTTTTGCTTGTTACTGTGTTTGATTGTTTGGTCAATCTTACATTTTTATGTCTGGTGGACTAAGCAACTTCATTGAAGATAACAGCATGTAATATAGCAACCATTATAAATTTCTATCATTTTGTTTTGTGGTCATATATCATTCTTGTTCTTTTTGTGTTGGTTTGATTTTGTTTTCATTTTTGTTTTGTCAGCTTTCTAATTTTTAAAATAAAAAAATCACTAAAAATGAACAAACATGTTTTGCTGTTTTTGTTTTCATCTGATATTTTCAAAGACAGACTGAAGTTATGCATCTGTGTGCTCACTTCCTTTTTCACTTACAGGCTTAAGAATTTCTCTGCTCTACTGGGAATAATGTTATGTCTCAGGGCATATATATAATTTCTTTATGAAATTAACAATGGTTAATATATGTTGTGTACTGTTGTTATCAAAGTAGTTGCTCAGATTACAAGATGCAGGCATGCAAAACTGATATAAGCACAAGCTGATCTCTTCAAAGGACTAAAAGAAATTACAAGTATAATTTTATATATATATACACACACACACACACACATATATATGTATATATACTCTTTTCCCTTCCTTATTTTCTCAGGGCATATTTAGTAACATGTTACAAACATAGAAGAATCCTTCAGAACTGACATCCAATTTATATTCACATGTTCACTACTCTGTTCAGAAGAGTGAAATTACTTGCATATAATTAAATTGTGTTCCATGTGTATACAGATCAGTTTAGTCATAAAGATTACCTTGAATTTTTGGAGAAGTTGCTTGATTACTTCTTCAGTTCTCATGTTACTGTTTATTCTGACTTTAGTTTCTGATGCAAAGGCTGGGGTGAAAATTGATGTCTAGAGAAAAAAGTCTTATAAATCCATAAAGTTCTATAAAACTAATAGTATTATCTTGAACCTAAAGTAAGCAGAATATAGAATTACTGAAATGATATTATTCAAATGGATTTCACAGAATTCTCAAATAATTATTGATCTAATATAGTTCTAACTTTATACTAAAGATATTCTAGTCTTTATTAATTCTTATAACAATGATAAAATTAATTTAAAATTCTGTGATACAACTATAATATGTTCAAATTAACAAAAAGAAGCAAGAGTGAATGGGTACTCACAGGTAAGTAGCTGATAGTAATGTGTATGCCTCATGACATTCATCTTGGGAGAAACACAACTATGTGTGGTGCAGCATAACAAAGGGAAAACTTTTTACTCACTATATAGAAGAAAATAAAAAATGATGTCATGAGATATACATTTACAAAGAAAAAATGATATGAATTAAAGATCTGTTTCCATGTTTCATTTATATACGCAATCTCCAGGTGTTCCAAAGCTTACTAGAATGAGGGTGGGTACAGATATGAAGATGCTGGCTTTTGGGTTGGGTCATTGCAATGTTAGATTAATGAGCCTTGAACTTGGAGATTACTATAAATGTAGATATAGATATAGATTTATGGTATGCATATGCCATTGGTATAAGAAAACAATCTGGATATGTAGACAGTCTTCCTGGGAAGATATATGGAGGATGTCTGAGACAAACTTCAATAAGTTTGAGAAAATTCAATCTGGACCTTGGATTGTACATGGATGAGTCACTCTCTGCCACAAATGAGCAGAGTTCATGAGCTCTCTGGAGAAGCACATGTTCACCCCATAGTAAGCTGAGATGAGGCCCTGCTAGATGTGTAGTCTGATGTTTATGTAATGAAGCTTCACAGAGTACAACAACGGTACTAAATTAGGATTGCGAAGACCTAGGTTCTAGGGTCAACACTGTCAACTCACTTCATATCTTGAAGTCTCCTTTATTTCACTGATGAAACAAGACTTGGGTTCTGGACTTAGACAATTGTGGATTCAGGTTCAGAATTCTTAAAAGCAGTATGACCTAAGACAAACTGTTTGACCTCTGTCAACCTCAAGTAACTTATTTGCAAAGAGAAATATTGGTTCCTAGTTCATACGATAGTTTTAGTGATTAATGACATAATTTACTACAGTCTATTTAAAAAACTTTAATAGCACATTTAGAGTGCTCAATAAATGTATGGCTACCATTGTTATTACTCTTTTAAATTTTAAACTGAACTTAGTGGTACAGCAGTTAGTACAACAGACAGCATGATATAGATCACATTAGTGGAATTGTAACTCACTTTATGGTTCTAGAAGTGTCCATTAATAGAAGCCCTGTGGAACTGTTGTTCTTTTCTGTCTACCATTGGAGGCTTTGTTCTTTTTCTCACCAGGACTGCTTCACTCATACATCTATAGAGCAATGGGGATTCTGGCTCTTCATCTGCATATAGCTTCAGAGTACTGCGGTGATAAGATAAATAGTCTGGAGAGAATAAATGTTAAAAGCCAATATTACTTAGCTGCCTATCTTCTTGTGTACTGGATAGATTGGTATATAGTTTTATTAATTTTAGAACTATTGTCATTTTCAAGATGTTTAAAAGCATTACCATCTACTACTTGGTAATACATATACACATATATTCTTTTATTTCTCTCTTTCTTATTTTTATTTTACAGAGAATAAAAAAATAACAAAATAACAACAACAGGGACAAAAACAAAACAACATAAAAACAATAAAAATGATACAGGATTTCAAAACAGAATGATAGGAATTAACAGTGGTTGTTATATTACACATTGTTATCTTCTGTGAAGTTGTTTAGATTACCAGATATAAGATCCTATATAATACTGTCTGAGATTGACTGGACAGCAAATTCTGTCTATGAACTATGTCTCAGAAAATTATCACAATGAGCTTATGTTTAAGGTTTGAGCACTCTTTCAGTCTGGATTTACTGTGACTGAGGGGTGACTTACATAGACTTTCAGAATCTTAGAGCTAGCAAAAACATGATATTCTGTCAGTGGGATCTCACACAGGCAAGACAAAGTACAGTATTTGAAGTAGCTTGTTTATGAACATAGTACTTATAAATGATGAGATTAGGTCAGGATCCTTGTTTTTCCTTGGGTTCAAGGTTACTGGACTCTTCCTTAGAAATGAATATTAGGCCAAAGCCATCTATATGGCATGCAGAGCCTTAAATGATTTTGTTCCCAAATTTTGTGAAAGCAAAAGTGGCAATATACTTTGTAGAGTGCCTACTAATAACATATGACAGGGACAATTCATAGCATATTTTTTATCACACACTCCAGGGATGTGGTGATTTTTCCCTTTACTTGACCGTCATCCTATTGCTTCTTCTCAGTGGGGCGTATGTATTCAACAGTGACTCATAATCCACTAGTCAATATTAGATGACTGTGTCATTCCATCTTGCATAGCAGGTTTTAGAATATAAAATTATAGTACATTATTGGACTGACCTGCTCTCTTTTGGGTGGGCACAGAGTGTTTAATGAAAGTGGGTTAGCTAGTATGTATTTCTAAGCTAACATGCAAAAGATTCAAAACTGCCTCCTGCACCTTTTCTAAGTTCCTCAATTAAATATTTTCTTCTGTAAAAATAAGGCCATCTGGTGGCATTTGTGTTCTATTTTACTTTGAGATTTTAAATATTATTCTATTGTAATTAGAACAGCATCATATTTCATCTTTCTCTAGCACTGGTGATTAAATACAAATAGATTTTTATCTTTGGTGCCAAGATTTGGCGTTTCCCCAGTTTAATGGGTATCTTCAGGGGGAAAATTGAAAAAGCCTATGCAGTACATAACAAGATGTCAAGATCCCATTAGACAAAGATAAGGGAACTCTGAAGGAGTATCATGCTTGCTATGGCATCTGAGTTCTCATGGAGACAGCAGAGAGGCAAAATTGAGAAATGTTTGAAACAAAAATAAAAAGTAACATTAGAAGTCTTTGTTTTTTTAAATTTTAAAAATAAAATGAGGACAACATTAACTGACAGACAACCTTTTACAAAATAGCA